CACAATGCACGTCATTCAGATTCGAGGACCTGTCTCCGTTCGGGCACCGTATGTCCCCACATGTTATTTCTGGAGGCCCACGTTATAGAGGCATGCGGGAGAAGTGTGCCTGCCGCCTGGGCCCATCCTCCTGCCTTACAGCCTTATTTAATCATTGTGATTGATTAAACAATCAAAAACCAAAATGCTTTTTTTTAATTTGATGACAAAGCAGAAACAGTTGAAAATTTAAATACTGTAACCGTTTAACATTGGTTAGATCAAACTTTAATAAATAAAAATCTTTTACTCTAGTACATATAAGATTTACAAGAACGCAAAATCAACTTCGAACCACTCGACAAACCTGTGTAGCTTATAGCAAATTAAAACAAAAAAAATATCGACTATTTTTTAATTTCAAATTATACCTAACACAGCTTTATTTTGGGGATTTAATTAGAGTTCGGTTAGTAGCTGAAAATGTATCTCTTTTTTATCAAACTTTGATTCAATGAATGTTGAACTGTTACAATGTAAAAATATCAGCAGTTTCTCACACATGCTCGGAAATGTTTGTATCACTTTTTAAACACGAACACGGAAAGTTTGTCACTTGTGGACCGTGCGACTTCTTCCCGGCCCAGGCCTGCAAAGTACATATGAAAATCTATTACAGTCCACTTCACTAAACTTTTAAATTGACCTAGTATTAAATGAACTATGTAAACAAGCAAAAGAAAAAATCATACAGCCAACTGCCAAGTGTTCGTAATTTAATCGTTTTTTTTTGAAAAGGCGTTAAAATAAACTAAAGTGCTTTGGTTTTTCTTCTGTTTTCTTGGCCTTCATTCTATGTTCATCGCGAAAATACGTTCTAGTGAGAAGAGCGATTACAAAAATGCGTGATTTTGCTACGTTGCTATTTCAAACATTGCTTTAAATTTTAATTAACATAGTTTTCACTTTTTATTCTATTTAGTCTTTTATTATTTCCTCACATTGTTTGAGAAAATCACTAATTACGCCTCGGCAGAAACGGGAATTGCTTGACTCGTATTAATAATACACGGACTCGCTAGCGCTCCTTCTTGTTACTCATACTCGTTCAGCAATCCCTTACTTCCCAGTCTCTGCAATAATGTACTAATAACGCTATTACCTAATGGGTGTGTACGAGCATGCTCTACATTTTCATGCATTTAAAGCTATTTTTACCTGTATTTAACATGCGTTAGCTATAAGTTAGCATGACACACGTATTTCTACTCAACAAAACGTTTCCCTTCTACAAACAAACAATTGACATTAACAACAACATTGTTCTGTTGACCCTTACTTACTTGTTGTTACAAGTAAGTAAGGATCAACAGAACATAACATCCCTTACAGGGTGCATATATTTAAAAATATAACTAATTTCATATTTTGAAGATAACGTATCATCTTCAAGTTTTTGTTTCTTCTTATACTTTTGGCAGTCAGCATTGAATCATGTTAAGTGAAATTGATCTAATTCTCAAAGTGATTTAAAGATCACAGTGATAAAATGATAATTAAAGGTATAAAGAATATTATGTCGGAATGCGTTATTTATTTATTTATTATTCGTTTTTTTTAACGCGCACTCTCTGGGGCGCTATCAAATTTATAATAACAAAAGCACATTTAAATATAATAATAACATAAAAATGTGCAATTGACATGAAGTTAATTGTTTTATGGTAATAAAATAAAATTACGCGGAAATAATTAAGTTAATGTACTTCTGCAATGCAATTAATTATATGCATTAAAAAGGAGCGCGTTAAAGTTTTCAATCATAAAACCTTAATAAAAATAGTTTCAGTGTTTTTTATCATTTTTGACGTTAAGAGGGAGCAGAGGAAAAATTCCTAATCTTCGATTTTAGAGGGGTATATCCACCTTAAAGTTAAAAATAAAATATTGTATGAGTAACTACACGATATATTCAAGCATAGACATTAATCAGAAACATAAAATAAATAAAGTTTCCTCGATAGATAAAAATCACAAAATTACCTCTAATTTTCACATTTTTTCGATTTATCCTCGAAATGCTACAGGTTATTAGGACAAAAATTATATAATTAATTATATTTATGCATGATCGACAACTGTCACTACGGATTTTTTTTAATCCCTTTAGTTTTGGAGTTATTCCGCTAAAACGAATTTGGTACTTTTAATGCGCAAAATTCAACATCTCCTGTCGCATGTCACGCGAACTTCAGGCATATATTTGTTTCACAAATTTGGGCGGAGCCAACGTCAAAACTTTTTTGGCATGAGAGCTCTTAATTAGTGCCTTATTATTGTTATTTTTTGTAAGTTTGAAAGACAGTAGAGTAGAGTAGTTGTCCAAGGAAGTACTGACACCATACCTATTTCTGCCGCCAAACAGTAATGTGAGCATTGCTGGTGAAATTACAGGCACATGGGACTTGTCAACTTATGTCTCAGGGTGACGGGCGCAGTGGCAGTGCTCCTCAGATCTTTGCGATTTAAATCTCGGAGAGACACAGCAACTGTTATGGACAGGCGTGCAGCTTGCCATCAGGCGCACGACCTGTTCGTCCCATCTTGATATTATAAAATAAACTTAACGGTACGCGTGCAGCGTGCGTGCAGCGCATTCGCCAGATCTGTGCGCACTCTTAGTAATGCCTAATTCCAGTTATTACAAATGAGTTGAGAATTAAAGACCAAGCGGCACGCGAGTGTTTAAGCTTCACGAGTTTGAGGCCTTGACGCCCATGTAACACGACGTTATTGAATACGTTTGTGAGAAAACATTAATTTTCCATGTTTACCACAATATGACGTGCCTTTTATAATATACATGTCTCCAGATTTTGGCGGGAAGAGACTTTTAGCCCTTTTAAACGAATGCGAGTCTCTATACCCTATCCGTAAAAATTGTAATGGTTCCCTGGTAACTGAGGGTCGTAGATGCCATTTCCTTATTTTTAAAGCACAGACTTATAGTCCCGCACTAGGGAAACCATGGACACACATATAGACAACCACAAATTATATCGAAACTCGCGAGAGAAATAAATGGAGGCCATGCAAAAATTTCTCCCGGCCTGGGAATTGAGTGCAGGTCCTTTGTGTGACAGAGTAACCGTTCGGCCACAGAGGCATTTTTTTTTTCCAAAAAGGGAACATCATGTTTTCTTTTATATAAAAAATTTTATCATTTACAACTTGAGAAAGTAGCAACATAGTTAATAGATTAGTTTAAAAAAATACGGTGGTGAATAATTTATTTTTATTTCAATAAGGGTCAAAAACTTCGGAAGAAATTACTGTATATAAATTGTTGATAAACATCAATCATCGTAAATGAACATCACTATATTTGAGTCTAGAAATTTCTATGGAGATAAAAAGAAAACATGGAATAATAATAGAAATAGTAACTAAAAGTGTAATTAGCCGGTAGTATGTTATCTCACTGGTTTCAAATTTTTTGTTTTCGCTCCAATTTTTACAAAGTATATCGCTACAACTTGGCACTTTCACGTTTTGCGAGAGATCTTGTATGTACAACGATCGCCATATCGCTGTAGCATTGTTTGAAGGCGCATCATCTCGATATGTGCTTTTTGACCATATCGAGACAACATGAACCACGCCCTCATATCAAATCTCCCCTTTTTTTCCTATATCTATGATTGTGGTAGCTCTACAGTTTCCGACTTCGGGCTTGTAACAGTCTCGTTCGTAATACCTTATTTAACGCACTTAATACACAACGCACTATTGCTACAGAATTAAAAGCAGAGATTTAAAAACATTCAACCTTGCGTTTTTTTGTAATTAATGTGTCAAACACTTAAAATCTGTCGTAAAATAATAACAACATATAATAATTTATCATTGTGACAACTTAATCACTCAGTTTACTCCACTTATTCATTGTTCTGCATAATTAAATAGAAAATGCTATAGCATAATATGGTATTATTATTATTATTCTTAGGTTGGCGTTACAGTTTGTAAGTAAATGATGGTCACCATCTTAAAGCTAAGGTTCGTAGAATTAAAAAACTGTAGAATTTTCTGGATAGGGCGTTTCATGACCAAGGGACACAGACAGAAAATCAGTTTGAATATTGTAGATACCTTGCTTCATTGAGACATTATTTTCTCTTACTCTTCCAGGGAAGTACTGCCACCGCGCGTATTTCTACCGCCAAGCGGTTATTTAAGCATACTGCATACCGATTTTGAAGGATAAGGGCGCTGGTGAAATTACAGGCACAAGGGACTTGTCAACTTATGTCGCAGGGTAATGGGTACAGTGGCAATGCCAGTCAAGTCTGTGATCTTTGTGATTAAAGCTCTGTGAAACGTGTTGCTTACCACCAGGCGCTGTACTTGTTCGTCCCATCACCAACAAGAAAAAAGGATCATCGAAATCGATTTATTTACTTCAAAACGCGTAACATACACGCGAAAGTAAAAGAAATACTATTTATAATAATTTTTTTAAACCGGTTTAAAATGGCGCACATTGGGATAGTCACATGTTGTAGTCCACTGACTAATTGACAGGATGAGGATGATATTTATGTGGTAATCAAAGTAGGTTGGTTAACGTAAAAAGTATTGATCCACACGATTTGTCAGTTCGATTTACGAACACAGTTCACGTGATAATAGAGCTATGTAATTTGTCAATTCTTTCTATTGTATTTTTAAGTTGAATAAACAAAAGATTTTTCAATGATAATTGTAACTTTTTTATAAAAAGAAACCGACCTCAAAAGTTTGTGGAATTACGTCTATTTGCCAAGTTTATTGAAATCGGTTACCAGAAAGTGTGGGAAACCGGATTTTTGCCCTAGTTTGCCACCCTTAAAGGTGGAACATTTCCTTCAAATTGAAATGGGACCAATACTGAGGTACCCTCTTTCCAACAAAAAAACATACATAGTTATAAAAAATTTAGAACCTTTTTTTTAGAAGTCGGTTAGAAATAAGTTACTTACGCTTCACTGCTGTTAACTTTTTCGCAGCCAAGGGGCAGCTGGCTTAGCGTGAGATGCGTTGCGTTCAATTGACACGCTTTATCGCCATAGTGCAGGTCATCAGCTGTCACCTTTGATGTTGTGCCTGGTGAAGAAAATTACGTTTATTTATTGCACAAAATTTGAGTAACGGTAGTTTCTTTATTAACAAAAAATGCACATTTTACAAATATACTGTTATGTTTTAATTAAAATACAATTCGCAAATTACTTTCTTTTATTACGATGCATTTCAAATGCGGAATATAACAATATATATAATTAAATACGCATTTTTGATCTCATTTTTTAAAATACGAAATAGAAATTTCGAAATAAAATCATTACCACTAACCGGATACCAATTACAAACTATATTTTTACATTAGTAATTGATATACAAAATATATATTTGTATTTCCAATACACGTTTCAATTACAAATTACATATACAAACGCTGCAAGCATCTTGGGCACCTTGCCGAGGGGACCCAATTTTATTCATATAACTTATTGCTAGTTTTAAATTCTAATGTTTAAGCTTTTATTGTATTTTTATACCTTACCTGTCGAAATAAATAAATAACATAAATAATATGACGGCAGTCTAAGAATGTTAAATTCTTGAAACTTATCTCTCAAAGACACTCTGGGACCCAGAATGTAAATTGCCCTAACCTCATGTTAGAACGTGTAATTAGTTGATTTGATAATAATATTAATATGCCAGACAACTACATCAATTATCAGGTTTCAAACTAACTCATTATTGATATACTGCCTCCGTTGCCGAACGATTACCATGGTGGACTGCCACGCAGAGGTTCGTTTCCCGGAGAATTATGGCCTACATTTATTTCTCTCATGAGTTTGGGGGTAATTTGTCGTTGTCTATGTGTGTGTTCATGGCACCCGCGATACAGGGTTTCCCTAATGCGGGGTTATGAGTGTGTGCATTATTATTGCAAGAAGTCCATTAATTGCCATGTAAATTATGTAATACAATAAGGAAAAGAGTTTACAATGTAAAATTTGTATCGGTTATAACAAAAGAAACATCGTAAAATGCATATTAGCATGCATTTTATGTTTAATTTTCCACGCACTGATATACCTATAGGAGAGTGTGTTAAATTGCAGACAAATAAAAAACAAAATGCTTCAGAGATAAGTCAAGCTAGAACGAAGCGTCGATAGACAAAAGCCAACAGAAAGGCAACGATCAAAAGAAAAAAACAAAAACAAATTTACAAATTCCGATGTAAGTTGTTCAAGTGTGAACAAGTCCCAAGTGCCTGTAATTTCACTAACACCCTTACCCTTACCCTCAGAACCGGAACGCAATAATGCTTACATTACTGCTTGGTGGCAGAAATTGGTCGCAGTATTTCCCTGGATGAACTCATTCTCAAGAATCTCTACTGCTACTAACACAATAACTATCACCCAGACCATAAACAATTTAGGAAAGTTCTTTGCCTAAAATCTCCTCATCCAGTACTTACAATGCAAACCGTTGGGTCACCGACGTCGTCAGAGAGCGACCATAGTTTTCATTGACTTACAAATAAATGGACTACGGGTCTAATACAAAAACCACGAAAAAAATGTCCCAAGTCAATCTATTCGAAATTTAAATTGTAATGTCATCGCAGTATCGCGCTGTCAGTCGAACAAATGAAGACTAAAGCGGAGTTTGGCGCTCTGTATACGATTTTAGCGCCTTACAAGTGCGGACACTTTTTAGCGCGGACCCGACGTCCATATAATTGTAAGTCAATGATAGTTTTGGACTTTATTTTATTTATTTTTTATTTATTAAGGCTTTGGCAAAGCCGTCAGCCTAAACATGAAGTTTAATTATGTTTCTGTAAATATGGCCGCCACAAAGAGGATAGGCAATTTGAGGCGGCGTGCTTGGATTGACTCGGGATTCCTTAAAACGGGCCGATATGGATATTTTAGTTCGAGATTCGTATAATTTCGCGTTTTAATCTTCGATTAAGGCACAATAGCACTATCCTATTCCACTTTAAACTAGATTTCACAAAATAATTGAAAGTCAAAATAAAAACGACACTTTTCCCTCCAAAAGGTCCAGAGCGAATCTTTGGACTTTATCATCTTTTTAAAAAAAGCAATACCATTAATGATGTTAAACGTTAACGTTAATTTTATATTTAACAGCCGCAAGTTCAAGATCGTGTTTGCGTAATGCAGTTTTTATTCGGCCCTGACTTTGAACTGCCTTGCCTTTACTTAATTAAACTTAAATAATAGAGCAAAAAACTTGAGTAATAACATCTATGTAAGTAAGCAAGGATTTAGAAAGTTCGCGATTGAGATTGGTTTAGCTTGTGATGTTTTTTATTTAACTGAAGGTTAGGTTGACAAAGAGAAACGTTAGAGAAATGTGATGGAGTTTAACTGTTTAAATTATTAAAGTATTAACTGGTTAAATAAAAGATTATGTGATCGTGTTATATCTTGTAATTTGTCATAAATGTAATATTATTAATAACTTATAAAAATTGCTAATAATTATTAATAATTATTGTGTATTGATAAGTCATTATTTGCACCGATTCGTATTACCGCTTCATCTTTAGAATACAATAGGACAAAAGAGTGAGCTGTCTCGGTAACGCCACGTGCCATCTGAATAGTCCAAACATTAAAAAGAAATAATTCAAAACTGGAATTCAGAAAAAGCATTTAGCATGGCTTGAGCCATAACTCGTACGATGATGGACCAAGATCATTTAGTCCATGTACACTTTGAGTAAAAGAAGTGTTAGTGGTTTTATTACTGTATTGTAATAGAAAGGACAAGCTTATTCCAAGAGATAACATTCATCGGTGCAAAAATATGTTTTCAACTATAATACATTATTAAGTCATTGTTTGCAAATTCAAGTATTTTTTTGTACAAGGGATTAGGTTAGCTTTGTATCGTATACTAATAAGGAACGACCTTGTTAAGTCTCGTGTGTTTTTTATTGATATTAAAACCAGTCTTACGGTACATTAATGAATGACAACTGGTGTTTATGTACGATATGATGAATTATATAACACATATGATGTTCTAAGCACGTGCTTTTTTTGACGTCGTATGCCAGTTTTTTACTTGTTAACTTGATTGCTACACGCAACAGTTTACATTATAGTAAGTAACTACAGTTATGACGACTTTAATAAAGAAGTTTATATAAATGAAGATAATTTATTAGACAATACGTTAAAATGTGCAGGAAATTAAAACTATGAATAAAATTGTATTTGAAGACGAGGGTGAATTCCCAAAATTGCGAATTGTGTGGAATTCCTGAGGATGTATATCATTTGCTCGTGGAATGTGCACGAACGGAACCTATCAGGGTGTGATTATTTGCACAGGTCGGTTTTGGTACATTCAATGTTGTGTGATTTCAATCTATTTTGTCTGAGCGAACTGTTAGTGCCGCGAAGGTTTTGTATAATATTTTATTAGGTAATATTTGATATGTCTGTTTGGTGTCCATCTATTTTATTTTCATAATATACAGGTGAGGTGCAATAAAAGTTTAAATACTGGAAAGTAAAACTAGGATTAAATTATATGAATAAAATTGGATGCCCGCAGCAAGGTGGCCAAGAAGGTGGCAGCGTTCCTCCTTTGTATTGCTATGCTAATGCGTTGGGCAAGGTAGCTGCCGGCCCTTGGGTTTCCCAGGCAGTCTATTAATTTTTTGAATAAATTTTTATACAGATGAAGGCCACCGGGACCTCACGGGCCAAGGGTTTCGACTTCAAAGCGTGCAAATAGGTAGTGAGGTCCTGGAAATTATTACTGTATTCTTTTCGCCAACTCAACTGCAGAGCCAGCCCTCTTGTTGGTGTAATCTAAAACTCATCAAAATTCAGCGGTTTAGGCGTAAAAACGTGACAGACAGAGCTATTTTCCCATTTATAATATTAGTTAGTTTGGATACAGCGCTAAATTTGAATGCAATACTTTAATTATAATGCTCACCTGGACGTTTACGTGATTTAAATCACTACAGTATATTTTAATGTACACGGGGCCTAAAGAGGTTAAACAAATAAGTTTGGAAGGTGTGAAAATGTTGAGTGTGTGCGTTATTATTATTATTAAAAATACCTGTTCAACTTCAAAATTGTCTTTATTTCGTGGATAAGCAAATTACACTTGAAATCGTCACATTTTCGCAATTTTTAAGGTCTTATCGTTTATGTAATCCCTAACAGAGTAATATCCTCTCTTAAGCAGAGTTGCCTTGATATTATTTTGAACTTGTCAAAGGATAAGTCCAAAATAGCTTTTGGAATCTTACTGAATACCTTGCCCCGCAAAAGAACCGAAGAGTTCTGGCTGTCTCTATGTCAGTAAGTTGCCTGACTTTTCGTATGGCATAAGCAGCAGAACAAAACTTTCCAGCTAGTGTCGAAATATATGTGGATTTCACTGAAATTTTGAGTCTAACTTTCTTTTTTCTATCTATAGGAGGAAGCCCCTACAGTTTCTTATACGTTCTACTTATGGAGGTCTACCTCTCGAATGAGTTGTTATTTAAAATTATATTAACGATTTTAAGTGTAATTTGCTCGTGCATGGAATATAAATAGCAATATTAATGTATGTAACTAATGTCGCAAAATGTACGCTGTCAAGGTTATGGCAGTAATGAACGCATGTTGTATCCTGGAGCACAATATCCGTTTAAACCTTTTTATTTTGCTATTGAGGTAATGAAACCCGGAGTTTTTTTCTAATATAATAAAAAAAATTGTTTCATAACCTTTGTGCGTAGTAGAATAAGAACAACATGGTAACTTCGTACAAACGTCGCAAGGTGGATTTTATGTGTGCGCGCCCGCCGCCACATACCGTGTACGGACGCACACATTTGCATCATCTAGGGATGCTCTCTAGTCCATTTCATATACCATGTACGGTGACGTTTGAGATTTGAAGTAACTAGAGATGTAGTGATGCAAATTGGAATGAAAAAAAATAGATTTAAATATCTTATCGGCTTAGTTTGTAACGAAGAGAGTGTTAGAGTTTGAGCATGATGTTCAATGAAACACAATGGTCAAAAAGAAGAAATATATTTAAATGTCATGTTTAAATATAGCTTATCAAAAAATGTCGGAAAAATATAAAGAGTGATAGCAAAATGTATTTACGCTTTTTTTTTATAAATAGTATTAGCAAAGTGTAGTAAATTCTTCAACTATAAGTTCTAAGTGAGAGAATGGATTTAGAGACTGTAGTTTAAAAACGAATAATATTTTGATTTAAACTTTCACGATTTTAACACATTATTTGATTTTTAATCTTAGTCACAACACACTTTAATTACCTCGACGTTTCGGATGCATTGCAATGTCCATGGTCTCGACGGGACTGAAGAGTCGGTGTCAGCATCGTCTAGCCGTGCGAGTTTTTCTTATCTGATTTATTCCATAATTTGCTACCCTTTGAGGTATATTTAGGAATATATAATATTTAGTTCAAATTTAAATGGGACCAATACTGAGGTACCTTCTTTCCAACAAAAAAGAATCATCAAAATCGGTTCATAAATGCCGAATTTTCGCGTAACATACACACACAAAAAAATACGATCGAATTGAGAATCTCCTCCATTTTTGAAGTCGGTTAAATATACATTTTGGACACTTTATTCGAAATTTATAACAGTTGTTCTTGGTGATAATGTCCCTATCTTATATTCAATCTTATGTAACTTCCTACGGTGTTGATTCGTACCTGAAAAACTTGGCACGTACAAACTTCGTTAGCGTGCTAACATTTCTATGTTAGAATTTTAATTAATGAAGTGTTATATGTATCTAATTTAATAAAGCATTAAAGCGAGTTGCCCTATGAAATCAAAATTACACTTTTCCCACATTAACGCGTGAGAAGTAATGACGGATCGATACAATTATCGTGACAATCGATCGAAACGAGGAGTTGTCTATGTATAGGGCCTTTAAGTCGTATTTCTTAGACGGATAACATCACATCGGTAACCATGCGTTTTAATATATGTAGTTTGTACTAACCTATCATGTAATGTCCAAGTTCGCCTAGGATGTATCCGACGGAGACCAATCCCAGCACATACCATTTGTAGTAGCCTTGTAGCTTCGCCCAGATGCCACCGTGAAACATCTTTGGTTAATTCTGAAACAATTAAAAGTTAATGTTAGGTTTTGTATAAATACATAAATATTGTGTGTTAGCGCCTCCTTGGACGTTGTCGGTGCTGGCAGGCCGAAATCGTTTTGAAGTTCGCGCTTTAGTTGATGCCCCTTCTGCTTTCTGCTTGTTGGCGGAGCCGTTTTTAGATCTCACCAGTATCGAGTTTTAGGCTTAGTAATGTTAGATACTTATGCTGGTTCTGCTATTCAGCGCGTATTGTGGGATTATAATGTGAGAATGTACAAAATTTCGTATTAGATTTTGAATTGAGATGACGCAGAATCGTTGAGTTATCTTAAAAGGGACATATCGTCGCCTTACTTTCTCAAATTCTGAAATGCATAAAATGAATTGTACATACAAATTTTGCAGGCTGATTTCACATTTCCTTCATATTCACACACTAGCTTTTACCTATTCTTAAAATAATGCATTCAAATTAACACCCTTGATAAGAAATTTCAAATAAATAGAAAGTTTTGCCGTCTCCTGTATAATCACTCTTTATAAGATACGAGTTTAAGACAGTAAGGCGTCGATATACAATATATATATATATATCCTTTTCCCTGAACGAACAAGTTATGCGCCTAGTGGCGCCAAGCGCCACGCCTATCCATAACACTTGCATTGCCACTCAAAGCTTTCTATCGCAAAGATACGAACGTAATTTAAATTAATTAAAAGCAATATACAGCCCTTTACAGGACTGTTCTGTTACATTTTCTAATTAGAACTGAGATTTAAAATAAAAGCTAAGCAAGGTCCATATACGAAATGCTAATAAAGTAAGGATTATATCTATTAAACCATAAAAGGGCTGAGTTGTGAGAATTATGCCTTAAAACGGTCGTGACATAATTTTGTGACAGTTACATTAAACGTAATTAAAATACTAAAGCGCCGAGATTGTAGATTTGTAGTACATGCAGTACTTACGTAATAAACACTACAGATGAAATTGTTTGCACTGTGGGCACTGGACAGGCAGGTCCCGGGTTAGCTTCTTGTGAAAGATTTCGTCCAGTGAAGTACCTAACCTATTTATACCGCCAAGCAGTAAGGGTGCTGGTGAAATTACAGTCACGTGGGACTTGTCAACTTGTGTCTCAGGGTGACGGGTGCAGTGGCAGTGCCTCTGAACTTTGCGATTTAAAGCTCTTGAGTGGCACTGCAACTGTTATGGACAGGCGTGTAGCTTACAATCAGGCGCACGACTTGTTCGTCCCGTTAATTGATATTATAAAAACAAAAAATCTAGGTATGATCGACCAATTTGGAAACGGATTTTTTCTAAATTACTTTTGGTGATAATGATGAGTTCTGGTATGGGTGTTCTGAGCATTGACCCAGAGTACTTATAGCACAGGGTATTCCCTTATTTGAGACCATTCTGGTCTGGCACATTATTATTACTATACTTTCAGACATATTGTATAAGAGCATTGAGACCGTACAAGGAAACCCAAGAAAATGCTTATAATATGAAAACATGGAGAGAAAGCAGTGGGATCCGTCGACCATTCGACTTATGAAATTAAGATTATTTTGAGTTTGAGTTTGAGTGGGTCTTCACAATACTTTGGGCTATTAGTAACTTTGGACATTTTAGCACTTTGGTATCTTAGATGATGTGTATAATTGATCATTAATTCCCAGACAGTCTATTAATTTTTTGGATACAATTTTGTACAGATGAAAAATCCCACGAGCCAAGGGTTTCGACTTCAAAGGCTGTAAATAGGTAGTCGAAGCCGAGATCCTGGTCCTTATTGGTTTCTATCCTTTCCGCCAGCTCACCTGAGGAGCCAGCCTTTTTGCTGGTGTGCTGAAGATGGGATGGGGATAGTTCAAGGGATGAGAGTCATTCCGTGCGGACGTTTGCCATCTGTTCGCGACATGCCGCTTGGCTCGAGTATAGCGGGCATGTTAATCGTGGGTAGGCCCGGCGGATGATGTCGTTGAGGGCTACATGCCGGGAGATATTTACGTTACGTTACGCACTTACGTATTTGTCTGTTTTGATTCTATTAAGTGTTTTCTGGATATATTGTTTTTTTTAATGGGGCTGACATGAATTGTTGAATAATAAATCACTACCCAGTAAATAAAAATTTTTTTACTTCGAAATCAACTTAATTTTTTCATTGGTCATGCATCCCAAAACAATGATCGAACGCCACATCTTTGTCAACAAAAACTCCATAAAAACATGTTTTGCTTACATCCGATTCTATTTCAGCCGAATATCCAATTTGCATGTCAGGTTGTATATATTTAGCAACAATGACCTGAATGTGGTTTAGTCGATTGCATGTCGCCATTGTCCTGTCAGATGGAGGCCGTTGTAGCAGCTAGTGGCCTTAATTTGGGGTTAATCCAATGAAGATGTTCTCTTGTTGTTGTTGTTATAAGTGCGTATTTAGGATGTCATTCTGATTCTCTATTTTTAACTGACTTCAAAAAAGGAGGAGGTGCTCTATGCGACTGTATTTTTTTTTTGTTTGTTTTTGTGTGAACTCCGACTTTTGTGAACCAATTTCGATGATTGATTTTTGTAAGAAAGGGGGTACTTGAGTGTTGTGTTGTGAACGGGATCACTATCCCATTCAAATTTGAAGAAAATAATCTGCCTCTAAGGGTGGCCAATTAGTATGTAAATTAGTATGAATCCGATTTAAAAATCTCACCCACTTCCATTATCCGATTTCAGTAAAACCGATAGAAGTAATTCCACAAACATATTTGAGGTAGTTTTTTTATAAAAAGGGTGTTTATATCATACAAAATATTAATGTCACAAAATAGTTAGATTATTTTACAAAGAGTATGAGAAAAAGATTATGCATAAACATACTCGTATCCTTAGAATAATAACGCATAGAATGATAGTTTCATATCAAACGAACTGTCACAAGTGAGGCAAAAATCAAATTCATGTAGGCTAGTTTTAGCAGTAAATTAGTTTTCGGTTTTAGTGAATATTTATATAAAAATACAAGTTGAAACGCGTTACTTCCTTGTGGAATGTGATGTTAGTATCTATTTTGTTTGTCTGACGTATTTTTACACTCATTTACCGCACATTTCGTCATTTTTAGCTAAAATTCTTGATCTGTTCGCGGTGCAAGTTGACCTTGAGCACTGAAGGCCCGCCCGCTCGTGTAGGCCCATTGGGCGCGCTTCAATTTGCCTCACTTAGCGTGTGCGGACTAGGTGTCCATGCGTTATTATTCTAAGCTCGTATCTATATATATTTTTTAAATGAAACCGGCAAGATTGTTAATATTATAAATTTAAAACCAAAAAGTTTTAACAAATTAAAAGGACTTTTTTAATATTCTTTCCTATTTTAATAAAATATCATAATGAGAAGAATCAATCGATAAATATCATCGATCCTTGAATAACAATCGTGGGAAAAACGACGCAACAACTAATTATGAGAAAAATTCTTTCAATGTCGATATAATAAGCTACAGCCCACAATATCTGGTACCTAGTTGGTTATCGCTACAAACTTATCGATGTATCCTCAAATCTATATCACTGTGGTAATATAGATTTACGATACTTACGACTCCAAGACATATGATATTTGAAATAGGTATTATAAATGATAAATATGTACAAATGTTTATTTACAAAGAGCAACTCATAGAGTTTCTTCTATTCTTCTCAAGGAAATCTGCCTAACGAATGAGTATAGTAGATTTTAATCTATGCGACGATTTCAAGTGTTATTTGTTTATATATTAAATAAAGATATATTTCAGTTTAACAACTTGTTTTGTTTGATTACCTCAATAAAAGAACTGACATTCATTTACATAACCTTTTTTATACGAAATTTAATTTTGAAAACACTTATTGAATGGCAAATTTGAATATAACTGAGAAGAATATGAATATCTAAAATGCAGTTTTCTCAAGAGCAAATGTAAACTTATAAAATTATAATCACCACAATAAACATACATAAAACATAAGACTAATTAACTGACAACGACAACAATTCGAAACATGTTAGCGATGAAATTTTTTTAAATATTTTAAGCCGATCTAACCAAGCCTATTGACTATATTTATGACAGTAAATTACTTGATAAAATATCGAATATGCTGTTTTAATGACGCCTGGAGGCATGGAAACGTTGAGTTTGAAATTAAAATTTTTGGTTTAGGGTTTTGTTTATAAGCTATGACATAATGCAATGGCCATAAGCCTTGGCGTGTCTCAGGTCTCGTACTAGGGCCTACGTTAAGCCAAATTAAGAGTCATAGCTTTTTTTATCTTATTCTATTGTAATGTAGTTTTAAATTCACGCAGTTTCACGCGTCAATGGTTCTGTGAGAGAATTAGATTGAGATGACTGTTGAAAATTAAAAATAAACTACTTTGCTTGATTGAACATCCATCCTATTGGTGAATTTTCAATGTTATTATTGATTAAATACGTATACTTTAAAAACGAATTAATGATTGGTGAAATAATATTATTAAAAAAGTATTTTAAACGAAATATGGCAACACACAATTCAATACAAGGTTCAATACTATTTTTGAAAACTATGCAGATGTATTATGTGCAGACAGTAAAAATACAGTTGCAACAATTTTTCCTGCAAATAAAAAAAGTTATTGCGGACTTACCAACAAATCGTTCAACAATCGTTATTTTTATTTTTCTTACAATGCATATGAGAGACGTAACAAAGTCAAGCGAAGGCGTATAACTAAGCGACGTCGAAACAATCTTTTGAAATATCAGGAAGTCTTGCGTCAAAACCCCGTATCACCCGTTATATGTGACAAAGTCCTTCCCATTGTCAGAAGCAAATCAACCCAATAATTGCTTGCTTGTTTTTTTACTCATCTTTACAACTAGAATTATCGAGGCGGTAACCTTCAAACGCATCAGTAATTCTACTCAGCAGGTTTTCGTTATAAAAGCATTATTATTTTTCGGTATGGATGAAAACATTGGC